CATTGTAGTTTATTAATAATATACTTAAACTGGATCTTGTTTATTAAAATATTGATATAACCAGCTCTGCAAAGGTCCAATCAGTTCAGAGACTATCTGAGATTGGAGAATCCATTGGCAAGCTGTCTGAAAGGCTGATAACAATTACATACCCCGATGGCCAAAGGTAGTAAAGAAACTGAGAGACAAATATATTTCCTAGAGGAGAGAAGAAAGTCTTTGAGTAGAGCCTCATTGTTATTACACATATTGAGGCTGATTCTATGAGGTCACAGATTGATTTATGGAACCTATCCCCATCTCAACCTATAGCCCAGAAGATATAAGCCAAGTCAAAGGCTCATACTATGAGGTCAAAGATCGATTTGTGGAACCTCTCCTTTTCACATCCAATAGCCCAAGAGATATCAGCAGAATCAGTGGGTGAACGTAAGAAATGTAAAATTCCAGATTGATATGGAATCCATCCCTGTCTCACTCTATAGCCAATGAAATATCAGCCAAATCACTAGCTGACGGTAAAAAATGTAAGTTAATTGCAAATATCAATTTATTTTCAACAAATGTTTACCCAGTTCAATATACAGATCTATGTTTTTCTTAACATTTTCAGTGACTGGTTATCTAAATTCCAGAAATGGCTCTAGGTATGAACCTTATGAAATGTACTTGTATAAGAATTACAACAACTGGGTATTTTTACTTAGGTTTCACACTTTATTTGGGGCACTCTCTAGCTTTATGAAATGTACTCATATAAGTAAAACTAAGAATGGGTCTTGTTATTACAATGTAGATATCACCAGCTACTGCCAAGCTCCAGTGAGTACAAGAACTATATAAGATTGGGCCATAGATATAGATATCACCAGCTACTACCAAGCTCCAGTGAATATAAAAACTACATCAGATTGGGACAAGAGTCCATTGGCAAGCTCCCTGAAAGGGTGAAAAAGGATACGTTGCCTGATGATCCCAAGATTGTAAAGAAGCTAAGGGACACTTATGTCTCTTGGAGAACTAGTAGAAGTGGGGGGCGAAAGCCTGAGAGCAGGGCCAAAAGGGAGGCCTTTCCAATAAAGACCCTTTTGAATCACATAATAGAGAACATGGACTCTCCCAACCATTACAAAAATCGTCAAATCCTACAAACTGATCAAGGGGTTTCTGGATAAGGTGGAAACCTCAAAATCAATAAGTGCAAGAACACTGAGAAACTACTTGCAGTCATTTGCAAAATTTATTAAATTACAGATTGACATGGAATCCATCCCTGTCTCACTCTATAGCCCAGGAGATATCAGCCAAATCACTAAGTTAATCAAATAAGTTAATTGCAAATATCAATCTCTTCAAAAAATATTAACCCAGTTCAATATACAGATCTATATTTTTCTTAACATTTTCAGTGACTGGTTATCTAAATTCCAGAAATGGCTCTAGGTATGAACCTTATAAAATGTACTTGTATAAGAAATACAACAACTGGGTATTTTACTTAGGTTTCACACTTTAATTGGGGCACTCTCTAGCTTTATGAAATGTACTAATATAAGTAAAACTAAAAATGGGTCTTGTTATTACAATGTAGATATCACCAGCTACTACCAAGCTCCAGTGAATATAAAAACTACATCAGATTGGGACAAGAGTCCATTGGCAAACTCCCTGAAAGGGTGAAAAGGGATACGTTGCCTCATGACCCCAAGATTGTAAAGAAGCTAAGGGACACTTATGTCTCTTGGAGAACTAGTAGAAGTGGGGGGCGAAAGCCTGAGAACAGGGCCAAAAGGGAGGCCTTTCCAATAAAGACCTTTTGAACCACATAATAGAGGACATGGACTCTCCCAACCATTACAAAAATCATCAAATCCTACAAACTGATCAAGGGGTTTCTGGATAAGGTGCAAACCTCAAAATCAATAAGTCGATTGGCAAGCTGCCTGAAAGGGTAAAAATCAAACTTCCAGTGATGATCCCAAGATCGTTAAAATATTGAAGGAGTATATCTTGTGGAGGACAGGCAGGAGTGGAGGGCGAAAGCCTGAAAGCAGGGCCAAAAGGGAGGCCTTTCCAATAAAGACCCTTTTGAACCACATAATAGAGAACATGGACTCTCCCAACCATTACAAAAATCATCAAATCCTACAAACTGATCAAGGGGTTTCTGGATAAGGTGCAAACCTCAAAATCAATAAGTCGATTGGCAAGCTGCCTGAAAGGGTAAAAATCAAACTTCCAGTGATGATCCCAAGATCGTTAAAATATTGAAGGAGTATATCTTGTGGAGGACAGGCAGGAGTGGAGGGCGAAAGCCTGAAAGCAGGGCCAAAAGGGAGGCCTTTCAAATAAAGACCCTTTTGAACCACATAATAGAGGACATGGACTCTCCCAACCATTACAAAAATCGTCAAATCCTACATACTGATCAAGGGGTTTCTGGATAAGGTGCAAACCTCAAAATCAATAAGTCGATTGGCAAAGCTGCCTGAAAGGGTAAAAATCAAACTTCCAGTGATGATCCCAAGATCGTTAAAATATTGAAGAAGGAGTATATCTTGTGGAGGACAGGCAGGAGTGGAGGGCGAAAGCCTGAAAGCAGGGCCAAAAGGGAGGCCTTTCCAATAAAGACCCTTTTGAACCACATAATAGAGAACATGGACTCTCCCAACCATTACAAAAATCGTCAAATCCTACAAACTGATCAAGGGGTTTCTGGATAAGGTGCAAACCTCAAAATCAATAAGTCGATTGGCAAGCTGCCTGAAAGGGTAAAAATCAAACTTCCAGTGATGATCCCAAGATCGTTAAAATATTGAAGGAGTATATCTTGTGGAGGACAGGCAGGAGTGGAGGGCGAAAGCCTGAAAGCAGGGCCAAAAGGGAGGCCTTTCAAATAAAGACCCTTTTGAACCACATAATAGAGGACATGGACTCTCCCAACCATTACAAAAATCGTCAAATCCTACATACTGATCAAGGGGTTTCTGGATAAGGTGCAAACCTCAAAATCAATAAGTCGATTGGCAAGCTGCCTGAAAGGGTAAAAATCAAACTTCCAGTGATGATCCCAAGATCGTTAAAATATTGAAGAAGGAGTATATCTTGTGGAGGACAGGCAGGAGTGGAGGGCGAAAGCCTGAAAGCAGGGCCAAAAGGGAGGCCTTTCCAATAAAGACCCTTTTGAACCACATAATAGAGAACATGGACTCTCCCAACCATTACAAAAATCGTCAAATCCTACAAACTGATCAAGGGGTTTCTGGATAAGGTGCAAACCTCAAAATCAATAAGTCGATTGGCAAGCTGCCTGAAAGGGTAAAAATCAAACTTCCAGTGATGATCCCAAGATCGTTAAAATATTGAAGGAGTATATCTTGTGGAGGACAGGCAGGAGTGGAGGGCGAAAGCCTGAAAGCAGGGCCAAAAGGGAGGCCTTTCAAATAAAGACCCTTTTGAACCACATAATAGAGGACATGGACTCTCCCAACCATTACAAAAATCATCAAATCCTACAAACTGATCAAGGGGTTTCTGGATAAGGTGCAAACCTCAAAATCAATAAGTGCAAGAACACTGAGGAACTATTTGCAGTCATTTACAAAATTTGTCTAATGCTGCGAGTGGTGTTAGTGAGCTCCTTCGACAGTTTGAGGGTACCCTTGTCCTGGGATGTCGTCCATTCCTGGTGCTGCACCTTCACATACAAAAAAGAGGATGAAGAGGTGAAGAAATAAATCATCACCAAAGGATAAAGAATGTGTAATACCAATAGAGCAGACTATGCAAGAAATTGGAAAGGGCATCTCAATTAACAATTTCTTTGTTGTTCGGGATGGTTTTTTAAATGCCACAAAAATAGCCCAATTATTACACTTAAACAAGATCAAGCAAATGTTATATCATGCTTATCATAGAATGTCTCTAAAATCTAAATGGTAATATCATAATTCAAACAAATTAATATGATAGATTAAGAACTTAGTTGCCTAACAGACAAGGACAATAAACAACAAAGACAGATGTTGAGAATACAATCTAATGTGTAAGGTTGGTATTCGGTTGCATAATGTTTCAAACAAGAAGATGATTTATAATCTTAATTTCCAAGCTAGCCAAACCACAATACAGGGCCATGAACTCCAATCCAAGGATTGAGAAATGCTTAGACTATTTATTTTTGAATAGTATACATGTAAAGTATTTTGTCATGGTCAAGTCCATGCCAATTCCCGATTCATCTGTTCTAGCTACTATGTATAATTACAGTACTTTATTGAGGACCTTTCTACGCCAATGTCAGCTGAAGATCAATTTTGTCTCTGTGTTCAGTTGAAGTTTAAAGGACGTCCTATTTTTGAAACTCCAGTTCAGAAAAACCAATCAGTATTAAAATTTGCTTTTAGATTTCCATACTTGGATATGACTCATTGGGGCTGTTATGTATGTCGTTGTTTACATAGTATATATCACTTAACACACAGACAATGATTTCTGCTACTTAGTAAAAGGTAGTTTATTAGGTTCCGCCTTACTAAGGTGGCATCACATGATTTACTATTGCAGATTGTAAAACATGGAGCACAACCCCTACTGGGAAAAAACTGGTTAAAGAAAATAGAATTGGACTGGTCGGAGATTTGCCAGATAAAATGCGCTAATACTTCGGATATCTATGTTTAGATACATGGATTAGAAGTATATATAACAGGGTCAATCAGTTACTAGGAAAACAAGAAGGCATAAATAAGCAGCCTTTTAATGCATTTCATTGGTAAGAAAACTTACAAACCCCTAATTTTATTGGTGAAATGTGATTATTTTGCTTGTTGGTTTACTTTTGCAGGAATCCAGTAATTAACTTGGTTTAATTCATTTCATATATTAAGGGGGCTCCAATGGACCAGTGAAGGATGTACCTCTCACGAAGGTAAAGCAGTTAATTCAACTCTGGAACAAGAGGTTCTTGAGTCCTCCTGAGAGGATTCTACTTAAATTAAGGGGCTCCAATGGACCAGTGGAAGATGTACCTTTCACGAAGGTAAAGCAGTTAATTCAACTCTGGAACAAGAGGTTCTTGAGTCCTCCTGAGAAGATTCTACTTAAATTAAGGGGCTCCAATGGACCAGTGGAAGATGTACATTTCACGAAGGTGAAGCAGTTAATTCAACTCTGGAACAAGAGGTTCTTGAGTCCTCCTGAGAAGATTCTACTTAAATTAAGGGGCTCCAATGGACCAGTGGAAGATGTACCTTTCACGAAGGTAAAGCAGTTAATTCAACTCTGGAACAAGAGGTTCTTGAGTCCTCCTGAGAAGATTCTACTTAAATTAAGGGGCTCCAATGGACCAGTGGAAGATGTACCTTTCACGAAGGTGAAGCAGTTAATTCAACTCTGGAACAAGAGGTTCTTGAGTCCTCCTGAGAAGATTCTACTTCATGTTTAGTATGTATGACATAAATAGGTCGAAAGTAGTGTTGAATAATAGTACATCATGTGAAGTGAGACCAGCTTCATTTTCATTACAGGGTTTATATTCAAATCAACTCAAATGATCTGTCTCATTAGATTTTGTTGTTACAAATAGCTGCATCGTGAATGCTATCGTATTTTACTCTCTGTCTGCAGTTTTATCCTTATTTCTTAAATCATAGCTGGTGAAAAAAGAAAAAATGTTCTAATTGCAGTGAGAATAACGACTGGTTTCTCCTAAAATATCAAAAGGCTGACCAGTAAGTATTTCAATGTAAATAAATGCTTTGACTTAAATTTTTGTATAGTATAACATATTTTGTCATGTTCTAATTCAGGCCAATTGCCAATTCATCTGTTCTAGCTACAATACATGATAACAGTACTTTATTGAGGAATTTTCTACTCTATGTCATCTGAAGATCAATTTTGTCTCTGTACTAAAATTTGCTTTTACATAGTTCCATACATGGATATGACTCATTAGGTCAATCAATTACCAGGAAAAGAAGAAGACATAAGCAGGCTTTTAATGCATTCCATAGGTAAGAAAACTAACAAACCTCTATTCCAAACTACCTTACCTTGAACGTGCATGCGAATTACCAAAAGCAATTCTGAGATAGTCAGTAATATACTACAATTATTTGTTTGGTACAATAGTTTGATGGTACATTTGTAAACCACTAAATGTAATTGGTCTGATCTTTATTTTCAAACAAGTACAATAACAATGTACATATGGCATTTGTAAAAATGTACACACTTAACAAGATGAAAAAGTTAAAGACTTACTTCCTTTGCGATGAACTCAAGTCCATCAATTGAAGGTCAATTTTTAAAGTTGCTTGTATTCAATTTCATGCATGACAACAAAAATAAAGATTAATAGAGATTTTTTGAGAATTTGCTCAATATGCCAAATTTTGTAGCCATTTTGAAAAAAATAATAAGATTGTACTGCCACTGTATAATATCTTCATAGGGATTTGCTCCACTCTTATTTTGCTGTTATATGTAGGGTAGTTTAGATCAATTTTATGAGTTTGACAACAATATTATTGCAGATTTCTGCAGGCAGTCTGTGGATGCATTTTCCCATTAAAAGAAGATTAAAACTAGACAACACGGCCAAATAAGCATCTTTGAAGGTATAAAAGTGAAAACAGAGTGGGCTATTTTTTAAAACATAAGATTCAATAACTTGCTATAAACTACATACAAAACTTCTTAGTTGAGTTAATGAAGTGTGAATCTGCAATAATAGTCAGTGCTCTTTAGATTTGCTTAAAAGTCTATGCAAACTTATTGAAAGCTCTTTAGAAATCACTGTTGTGTCACTATTACCTGTTTTTCAGAGCAAAAACGAACGAGAAACTTATTGCTGTGTTCACTAATGATTAACAATGCAACTAGGCAGGGGTCCCTTATCAATATAACTTCGACAGAGTGCCAGAATTGTTTAAGAATAAAACAATGTTGGCAAAACTCATTATTTTTGCTGCTTCATTGCTATATAATAAATCCATCAATTTTAAACGGGCCATAGACATTTTTGCAAACAAACAAGAGAGGTGTGTTAATTTCACTTAAACCACCCTTTTCAGCTAAGTTACATGTAGTTACTTAATCTCATTATCCTGTCTTATTTTAAATACAGGTGTTAAAACATGTTTATGATTATTTTTGTAATTGTTGGTCATGGAATACATGACAGGAGGCTTTATAGTCTTTGAGATTATCTGACTGCTTATCTGACTACTGAGAGCTTGAAACTGTAATGGTGCAACTTTACTCTGTTACTGTTTGTAATGTCCTATGTTTAGCAGATGTTTACAACACTTGTTCTGTTTATACTATTGTACATGTGAAAATAAAACCATAAAGCAAGTTAAGTGTACATGGATGTGATTTTATGTTAATATATATAAGTTGTTTCAGGAATTCTCTCGCGGCGCCGATTTTTTTATTTAATTTTGCACCACTGTAATAATACTGTCACCACCCATTAATTTTCATTCAAAATTTTTACCGCTCACTTTTGAAAAATTAGGGAGAACACTGTTCATTCTATCTTTTTATATATTGATTTATATATTGCTGTCACTAAATAATTATAGGTTTGACTTTTTAAGTCTATGTTACTTGAAGAATGCTCATATCTTTTATATGAAGCACAACACCGCTACGCAGAATATGGCATATGCCCTCAACTCACGGGCAAGTCAAGCCACAAGGGCATCCAACCTGATTACAGGATTGATGGAAGATGCGAGTGTTATAATTGATATTTATTTTATATATTTATATATGGATTTTATATTGCTATCACTAAATAATTATAGGTTTGATTTTTTAAGTTGCACCTGTCATGATTTTACACTCCAAAAATGTCACATCAAGAATGCTCATAACTTTTAATTTCAGGTATTTTCAAAGGCCACTTCAAAACAGGAGAGAGACAACCTGGCTTCCCATATGAAGCACAACACCGCTACGCAGCATATGGCATATGCCCTCAACTCACGGGCAAGTCAAGCAACAAGGGCATCCAACCTGATTACAGGATTGATGGGAGATGCGAGTGTTATAATTGATATTCATTTTATATATTTATATATGGATTTTATATTGCTATCACTAAATAATTATAGGTTTGATTTTTTAAGTTGCACCTGTCATGATTTTACACTCCAAAAATGTCACATCAAGAATGCTCATATCTTTTAATTTCAGGTATTTTCAAAGGCCACTTCGAAACAGGAGAGGGACAACCTGGCTTCCCATATGAAGCACAACACCGCTACGCAGAATATGGCATATGCCCTCAACTCACGGGCAGGTCAAGCCACAAGGGCATCGAACCTGATTACAGGATTGATGGGAGATGCGAGTGTTATAATTGATATTTATTCTATATATTTATATATGGATTTTATATTGCTATCACTAAATAATTATAGGTTTGATTTTTTAAGTTGCACCTGTCATGATTTTACACTCCAAAAATGTCACATCAAGAATGCTCATATCTTTTAATTTCAGGTATTTTCAAAGGCCACTTCAAAACAGGAGAGAGACAACCTGGCTTCCCATATGAAGCACAACACCGCTATGCAGAATATGGCATATGCCCTCAACTCACGGGCAAGTCAAGCCACAAGGGCATCCAACCTGATTACAGGATTGATGGGAGATGCGAGTGTTATAATTGATATTCATTTTATATATTTATATATGGATTTTTATATTGCTATCACTAATTAATTATAGGTTTGATTTTTTAAGTTGCACCTGTCATGATTTTACACTCCAAAAATGTCACATCAAGAATGCTCATATCTTTTAATTTCAGGTATTTTCAAAGGCCACTTCGAAACAGGAGAGAGACAACCTGGCTTCCCATATGAAGCACAACACCGCTACGCAGAATATGGCATATGCCCTCAAATCACGGGCAGGTCAAGCCACAAGGGCATCCAACCTGATTACAGGATTGATGGGAGATGCGAGTGTTATAATTGATATTCATTTTATACATTTATATATGGATTGTTATATTGCTATCACTAAATAATTATAGGTTTGATTTTTTAAGTTGCACCTGTCATGATTTTACACGCCAAAAATGTCACATCAAGAATGCTCATATCTTTTAATTTCAGGTATTTTCAAAGGCCACTTCAAAACAGGAGAGAGACAACCTGGCTTCCCATATGAAGCACAACACCGCTACGCAGAATATGGCATATGCCCTCAACTCACGGGCAAGTCAAGCCACAAGGGCATCCAACCTGATTACAGGATTGATGGGAGATGCGAGTGTTATAATTGATATTCATTTTATATATTTATATATGGATTTTTATATTGCTATCACTAAATAATTATAGGTTTGATTTTTTAAGTTGCACCTGTCATGATTTTACACTCCAAAAATGTCACATCAAGAATGCTCATATCTTTTAATTTCAGGTATTTTCAAAGGCCACTTCAAAACAGGAGAGAGACAACCTGGCTTCCCATATGAAGCACAACACAGCTACGCAGAATATGGCATATGCCCTCAACTCACGGGCAAGTCAAGCCACAAGGGCATCCAACCTGATTACAGGATTGATGGGAGATGCGAGTGTTATAATTGATATTCATTTTATATATTTATATATGGATTTTTATATTGCTATCACTAAATAATTATAGGTTTGATTTTTTAAGTTGCACCTGTCATGATTTTACCCTCCAAAAATGTCACATCAAGAATGCTCATATCTTTTAATTTCAGGTATTTTCAAAGGCCACTTCGAAACAGGAGAGAGACAACCTGGCTTCCCATATGGAGCACAAAACCGCTACGCAGAATATGGCATATGCCCTCAACTCACGGACAAGTCAAGCCACAAGGGCATCCAACCTGATTACAGGATTGATGGGAGATGCGAGTGTTATAATTGATATTCATTTCATATATTTATATATTGCTCTCACTAAATAATTATAGGTTCGACTTTTTAAGTCTGCACCTGTCATGATTTTACACTCCAAAAATGTCACTTCAAGAATGCTCATATCTTTTATTTTCAGGTATTTTCAAAGGCCATGGCTTCCGATATGAAGCATACCACCTCTACACAGAACATGATATATGCCCTCAACTCACGGGCAAATTTTTATCTTTGAGGATTTCTCAAAGCCAATGTGTATACTGACAGGCCCCTAACAATCTTAAGAGGGCAATAACTACCCCAATATTTGCCATCCACATTAATGTGTATAGGTCAGAGTCATTAACAACTTTGTTCGCAGGATAGAATTGTGCATAGAGAGAAGTGCCCACTTTGAGCATGTTTTGCAAAAGACTGTAGTTTTTGACACAATAGACAGATTATCATCAAACTTTCAGAACAAAATTCACATTGAATGAACTAAATAATTCTAAAATGTCAAGGCAAAATACGCAAAATTGACTGAGTTATTAAACTTTCTTACGGTCCTGTTATTTTTGGACACCCTGTATATTATTGGGATATGTGAACGGAGGAATTGTGCCGTCGCAAGATATCATCGACTTACAACAGCACAGTGTTTCTGGATTTCCAAGCATTTCAACTGCTACGTTCAGAGATGATATCCCACTAACACCAGATGTGTGCATATTCCATCACATCGACGTTCTAGACATAAACATTGTTGATACTCAAACTTTATGTTTGCGCAAAGATATATTCATGTCATTCTTAGACAATAGTACATGGATGCCTCGTGACATGTACTTTTGCATCAGACAGCAAAATCACTGGGGATGGTTTCCTATTTTTGATGTTAATAATTTCTTACAGTGTTTAAGCAGTGATGGCTATAAGACCTCCCACTAACAGACACATCACGATTGATTGACAATTTTAAAGTCATTATAGCAAACAAAGGTACGTAGTTCTCATTTAATGAAAATGTTAAATGTGAGATAGTTCAGTCTGCCAAATCGTATGGAAGTTAAAAATGAAATTCGCTGAGCCCATAAGATGTGCAAGTATATTTGGCATCATAACACAACTAATGGGGGCGCTAAGTCTTCATTGTTCCTACCTGATAAAAGTCTACGATGACGGCACAAGCACACACAGTGTGTTTAGAAATCCAACAGAAGTCTACACCAATGATTGGGAATTCAGTTTTGACAGATGCAATGGGTTGCTGATCAGG